AATCGCCGCACGTGCGGGGATCATTGCCGCACGTGCGGGGATCATTGCCGCACGTGCGGGAAGCCTTGCCGCACGTGTAGGGCTCACAGCCGCACGTGCAGCCCAAGCTGAAAAAAATGTTTGGCTCCGTTTCGCGTGCTCAACCCTTTGATATTTTTAAAATATTTTTCTGATGATCTTAAGATGGCTGTAAATTCAATCGAAACGTAATGAATCAGGAAGTAATTTGACAAGGAAAAAGGGAAGTTAATTGTGAACTTTGTATGTGTATAGGACACACTTCAAGGGAAGTAGCGCTCCGCCACAACACTGTGAGTAGTAGTACTGTAATCGTACGTTTACTTACCGTTAACCATTCTATTCTTAACGTTCTGTCTTACATAAGCAATTACGTTAACATTTACGTTGTTTGAAGATCGGTGAGAACATTGAAAGATTATGTGTACCTCGGTATGACTCTGGAACTCCTCTGCATTTTGATTATGGTTAATGGTTATTATTAATGTGCTATAGCCTGTAAATTACCTAAGACTCCGCACAAGAAGTATTAATACTATGCAAGTAGTTAACGGGAAGAAATTATGACTATAAACTCCGCTTAATGGAAATATGATATTTGAACGTCCTATCAGGGGCTCTTATAATCTTATTTGGTTCGACACATGTTTCATGACATAGACATTTGCTTAGAAAGGAACGGAATGAAAATCGGATAGAACCATGGGTTGCCTTAAATGTCAAGAATTGAGTATCAATGATATTGGTTCACCTTACGGTATGAATATGAGAGCATACTATTTTGCTACTAAGAGACCTGAAGTCGTTTAGCATCTACAACATGAATGTAAAGGTTTATCATCATTATGTAAACCACGTTAGAAAGTATATTGCTCTGTCTCTGTTAAGCGTACTGTGATGACGATGATAACGATATAACAAGAAATGCTTTATTTTCTGATATGTTATGTTTTGAACCAGTAAATGACTGTCCTTATATATCAAAGTATTCAGGACATCTTTAGCACAAGGCCCTTGCCCGGGGGTAATAATACCGTGGTTCAAGTATTACAGGAAGTCCCTTTACAGAACTAAAAAGTATGCTCTATATTGATTTATTAGCACTACTGAATGTACCATGTCTAGTCAAACATGAATTCTGATTTCTGTTATGATTCAAGCATAATTAAGAACATGTATGACCTTGTTTCTGTTTATCCGTTCTATTTGTGTTATGCTCTGACATGATATGAATTGTTCGGTCTTCAAGACCTATTTCGGGCATGGAACAAAGTGTTGTATGGAACTAAGTGCTGCAATGCGAGTCACCTCTAGAATCCGTGTGAGCCACCTCTTGAGTCCATACATACATGAACTAGGCTTAAAGCCAATCTGGGCCAGAGGCCATTCTGTATTTCTAATATGGAACAAAGTGTTGTACGAAACTAAGTGCTGCAAGGTGAGCCACCTCTAGAATTCGTACGAGCCACTTCTTGAATCCATACATATATGAAAGTTATAAGGCCTATGGCCATTCCGTATAAGTTGTTATGATATGAAACAAAGTGCTACGCGGAACTAAGTGCTACGATGTGAGTCACCTCTAGAATTCGCGTGAGACACCTCTTGAATTCATACAAGTATGTTCAAGGGCTTAATGCCAAATTGTCCAAGGGCTTGATGCCATTATGTTTAAGGGCTTCGCGCCATAATGTTCAAGGGCTTTATGCCACTCTATTCAAGGGCTTACAGCCATTATGCTTCAAGATGTTATGTTTCAAGCCATTAAGTTTAAAGTTTAAGCCTAAGACCATTCTGGAAATAATTACAAGATTAAGTTAACTATGTGTTCTCTGCACTTATGTATGTACATTATAATTCAAGTTAATCATTAAATTGTTTACGTATTACTATTCACTGAGCTTGACTCACCATGTGTTATGTTTGTTTCTGTAGGCACTCCATTTGGAGGTCAGTCTTAACCCATGGCATCCATTCCTCTTTTGTCAACCTCAGAGAGTCCAGGCACTGTTATGAAGGCAGCTCATTTTATGAAGTTTTACTAAGTTTTTAGTGCACTTAATTCCTTTACCTCTTAATGTTTCATTTTACGCCCAAGCTTGAGGGCTGGGTCTATATATATATATATATATATATATATGTACATAACTGAGTTCTCTGAGGCACGTCACTGTAAGTTTTTCTGCCTTATGTTCTGTTGTGATCCTGGTATGAAAGTGGTCGCTTAATGGATGTAGTTCTTTTATTTATTCTAGTTTATATTGATTAAATGCTTTCGTTCAGGCCCTATATATTGTATATATCAGGTTAAGTGTCTGGTTCAGAATAGGTCATGCCCAAACTTTTAGAGGCAAGTTTGGGGCGTGACAGGTGTTGCCTCTGTAACTTGACTTGAGCATTTTTCCTCACTGAGTCCATCTGGAGCCTTGGTGGGTCGGACCTGCCTCGGCCCACTTGTTGGCCCACTTCCCTTGAGCTTTGGTCCACGCTCCTCTCTTATCCCTGGTCACCTTCTCAGGGCAATCTTAGTGTTTGAGTCCATATTTAGTTTGGAGTTCAATTTATGACCCTCTACAGCCGGTCATTTTCAGTACAAACAAAGTGTTAATTTTTGGGACCATGAATTTGTTGAAATTCTTGGGAGTTGTTTTGATGGCCCTGAAAAAGTGTAGTCCAAAGTAAGCTAAATATTGCTCAATTCTTTTAAAAGTGTTATGAATTCTCAGGTTTCTTTATGAATTTTGGGATAATCATATTATGCTATGTAAGTGTTAATTTTTGGGACCCTGAATTTGCTGAAATTCTTGGGAGTTGTCTCGATAATTTAAAAGTAAAAATTGAAGTTAAAAATATTCTTCATCCAATTTTCAGAAATTAATATTTTTTGGGGTTGTGGGGTTGTATTTTTTAGGAGTTTATAGTATTGTTGTTGTTCTTCTCTCTAAAACAGAGCTCTCTTTCTCTCTCTCAACTTAGTGAGTGTTTGGAAAGTTACTATTTTAATAGGTGTTGAGCCTACCGGTTAATACCGATAAAAATGACAAATTGGTAGTGCTTGTAGCCTACTTGCAGATTCGTCCTAGAGATTTCCAGTTTTGTATCTACTACCCTGTTTTCTCTTGAAAATGAATTGATTGCATGAATTGTGATATAAACTTGGCATTGCATGATTTTGAAAAGAGATATAAAATGTTTTGGCACGTGCATTGCATATGCATTCACCTTAGAACTCTATTAAGATTCATACACCGTGTTAGAGTATATTTACTGGGTTTTGGCTCACCCTATGTGGAAAAATCATTTTCAGGTGCTGATAATATGCCTCCGCCAAGGCAATAGTTTGGGAGGATTTGGAGTAAGAATTTCATTTTGTTTATTTGTTGTATTTATTTTGTACAAGCCTAATGCTTTATTTGTATTGAGTTTACTCTCACTTTTCTTGTAACCAAGTATTGTCTTGGAAAGTTGTAACCAAGCATTGTCTTGGAAAGTTGTAAGCCTTTAGGGCATTTTTTAGTTGTTTTAAATCTTATTTCATATATTTAACTTATAACCAATGGCGGAACCAAGAAATTAAATTTGAGGTGGCACTTATTAATTACAACATTAAAAATTTTTACAAAAATATTTCACATAAATATTTACGATTGACTTTAAGAAAGATAAAAAAATAAATAATATTATTTGTAACTAGTGTATCATAGACAATATAAAAGAAAAAGGTCATCGATATAAGTTTTAAAATAAATTATATAATAATTAAGTAATTTTTTATACAAAATATGAATAAAAATTCAATATAATAGTAATACTACGTCATCACCGGCATGTGATATCACTAACCAATAGTAAAGAAACACATGGAGGATGAACTCTACATATCAAAATGTAACTAACAATCCAATAAATTTCATATCTTTATTGAGATTAATTATATTTGCATGTCAATAATAATAGACATCACCATTATATTGAAATTTTCATAATAACAATATGAATTATCGTAATCTCTTTATTTTCAATCCAAACAACCATTATTATCATCATAATTTAAAGGGTAAATTGCAAATACACCCCATGAGGTTTGTTTAAAATACAAATTGGCTCTTGTGTCAAAATTTTTATTTAACAAGAATTAATTGAAAAAATGAAATTTCTAATTGTTCACCTATACAATAATAAAATTATCTGAATTATTAATTGAAATAAAATTTTAAAATTATTAAAAACTGTTAATTAATTGGATGATTTATTAATAAAAGAATCTATTTGTTATGAAATTAGAAACCTTAGGGACATAATATAATTTTTAGAATCACAGGGGGTGATTTGTAATTTAAGTAAATCTCAGGGATGTATTTGTAATTTACCCTTGAGTTTTTAATTTTTGAATTTTGGGTTGTATTTTGAAATTTTTTGAATTTATTTTTTAAAAATATTTAAGAAAATTTTATCTTTTTTATTTTAAATATATAGTTTTTATTTAAATTATTTTATTTTATTTTATAAATATATTATCCTTAAAAAACAAGTTAAGGGAGGAAAAAAAATTAATAAACAAAAATTCTTCATATACTTTTATTTTATTTTATTTTTTTTTGCAGAAGAATGCCTGTAAGAGTAGTGGGGTGACGCAAATCTTTAATAAAGGACAAGTGAACGCAATGGAGAAAATGAAAAAAAAAAAGTTGTTTGATGCTAAAATAGAAGAGTGAAAAGGTAAGAACCTTATCCACATGCATGCATGAATGGCTACTTTACACGCCATATGACGCATCAATGAATCCTCCAAGCTGCAAAGGGAAGACATAAAACATTGTTTATGTCTGCTTGTTGATACGCTGTCTCAGTTATAATGAAGTTATTTTCATAGGTCTTAAGGGGCTTTCAGGACTTGTTACTAAATCACTTAATTTTTTATATTTTTTTTATTTTTTTATATTTTTTTTGATTTGTGATTAAAACAAAATTTGTCCACTTACATGGGTCATCGTCGATTCTTGGACAAACATCATGCATTTCGAGATGATGAGCGATCTTTTGATGGTACTAAAGAAAAAAGAACCGGATCTAATCCTTTAACTGGTTTTATGGTATTGGATATGTTACATGGCTTCAATATCACTTATGGAAAGATGAGTACTAATCCAGAATTACCATATAATTGGAAGAAAAGAAGCATATTCTTTGAATTACCATATTGGAAGGATAATCTAGTGCGTCACAATCTTGATGTGATGCACATTGAGAAAAATGTATGTGAGAGCTTGCTTGGAACACTACTGAATTTAGAGGGGAAGACAAAGGATAATCTAAATGCACGTCTTGACTTGAAACTTCAAGGTATAAGGCCTGAACTCCATCCAAAAGAAAATACAGCAAATAAAACCATCTTGCCTCTTTCTTGTTTCTCATTAAAGAAACAAGAAAAATATGTTTTTTGTAAATTTTTGAAGACTGTTAAAGTTCCTGATGGTTATGCAGCGAATATTTCACGGTGCATCGACTTAAAGCAGCGTAGAATCTTTGGACTTAAAAGTCATGATTGCCATATTTTGATGCAACAATTACTCCCTTTAGCAATTCGAGGAATGTTGAGTTCACATGTAACTTCACCTTTGATTGAGTTGAGTAATTTCTTTCGAGAGTTATGTTCTAAAGTTGGTTTGGCACAAGACTTTATGCGTCTTGAAAGGCAAATTCCGATAACACTTTGTAAGTTTGAAAAAATATTTCCCCCTAACTTTTTTGACATTATGGTGCATTTGGTGGTTCACTTAGCATCTGAGGCTAGATTAGCAGGACCTGTGCATTATCGTTGGATGTATTCTGTTGAGAGGTAAAGTTTATATTAAATCACATATTTCTTTACCATCATTATTATATTTTACTTTTGTTATTATCCAACATCATTCAAAATTTTGTTTTTTTAACTTACCAAAACATAGGTACTTGAGTAGATTAAAGTCATATGTGCGAAATAGAAGTCGACCGGAGGGTAGTATGGCAAAAGGATACCTTGCAAATGAATGCTTGACATTTTGCTCGAGGTATATGGAAGGTGTTGAGACACAATTCAATCGGATGTCTCGAAATTATGATGAGGGGGGTAATGGTACCGAAGGATTATCTATTTTCTCAATGCCTGGCTGACCATTAGGTAAGGGCGTGATAGACACAATGGATGATGGCACAAAAGAAAAGGCACATCGATATGTGCTATTTAATTGTGAGACAGTCAACAAATTTATTGAGTAAGACACTCGCCATTTGTAATCAATTTCATTATTATTATTATTATTATTATTATTATTATTATTATTATTTTACATACTTTTGCCACACCCTTACAAATCTTTTATATGGCATACAGATAACACCGTAGACTTGTTTCCATACAAAATCCACGTCTTCGTGAAATGGCCATTGATCGCATTCATAGTGAAACATTTCCAACATGGTTTGATAAACATGTAAGCAGTGTTTTGAAGTTCCTTAAAATTTGATTTGATATTAACTTCAATTTCATTCCACACTTACAAAAGTTATGTCGTCAATTGTTTGAAAACAGGTTGAGGAATTGCATAATGCAGGTGATAGTCAAATAACTGAAGAGCTTAGATGTTTGGCTCATGGTCCAAATAGAATTTTCACAAAATATAAGCGATACTTGATAAATGGTTTTAGGTTCCATACTAAGGAGATTGAGCGAAAGAGGAAAACTCAAAATAGTGGGATTATTGTCACGGCAAAAACACGAAGCTTTGCAAGTGGTAGAGATGGAAATCCGGTCTCTGGAGATGTTACATTTTATGGCGTGTTAACAGATATAATTGAGTTAGATTATTTGTATGGGAAGAGGGTCGTGTTATTTAAAGGTGAATGGGTGTCACAATCAGGGAAAAGACAAGATAAAGATTGCACACTAGTCAATTTTGCATGATTAATGAAAGATGTTGAGCCTTTTGTGTTGGCTTCTCAAGCAGAACAGGCAATGTATGTAGAAGACCTGAAACACAAAGATTGGCAAGTTGCTATCAAGATAAATCCGAGAGATTTTTATGATATGAATGCGGGGTCTTCTGTGGACAATGTGGAGGCATACTTGCAGAGTGTTGTATGTAATACACAAAGTGGTGATGGGGACAATAATTTTGATTTGGTTCGGACAGACATGTCTGCTACAATTGTAGATGCACCACTTTCTCAGGTGTTGAGAGACAACAATGTTCATGATGATGGAGATGAGGAAGAATTAGATTTTATGTGACTGTTAAACTTATTGAACATTGCTAGTTATTTATATTTGAAAACAATTCTATAGTTTCATTTTGTTCTCTTTCTTTATCATTGTTTTTGTTAATTTAATTGATTGTTTGAAGAATGAATAGTGCATTTTTAATTTAACTATGTGATTTGCATATGTGGCTACAAAATATTTATTCACTATATGTTACATTTAGTCACTACCAAGATAGCAACGCCATAAAGGTGAATTATGAATTTTTTTTTTTGTTAATTTTCTTCAAGTATTTTGTTCATTTGCAAATAATTTATTTAGATCATTCTAAGTTTACAATTTGATTTGTCTATTTTACTTGAATCATATTAGGATTCATCTATAAAGCAAAAGGCCTATGGACCCATATCTTCAGTTTCGCTCAGGCAATGTTGATGAGTTTAGTGAGTTAGCTCCATCTGAGATACAGCCAAATTCTAGTCAACCCAATGATAATGCAGGTATGCAAGTTCAAACCTTATAAAAATGTTATTATTTCTTCGTATATCATTTATTATTAGTATTATTATTATTTTTTTTTATAACTAGATGGTGCTAGTTGACAAAAGAAAACTTGAGGTCCCACGCAAATGCGTAATATTTGGGGTACTCGTGATGATGAGCGCCTAACAGTCAATTGGAACAAACTTGGCCAACTTGACGACAAATTGGCAACAAAGTTATCATCGTTCATTGGAACTATTGTGCGTGATGGGAAAAATGCACCACTCACTTACAAGAATTGGCATAAAGTCCCAGCACATTACAAAGATCACATATGGGCACTTGTACAGGTAAATGACACAATATTGTGCGAAAGATGATCACATGTGAAAAATAGTAAACATGAGTAATGTGATTAAAACAAAACTCTTTATAATTTTGTTTATTTTTAATTTTTTATGTGGGAAGATTAATTTTTTATTATTGTATTCTTCTCTCTCTCTCTCTCTCTCTCTCTCTCTCTCTTGTTCTCTCTCTTTTCAGTCAAAGTTTGATCTTCCAAGTCATGCTAGGAAGTGGGTTATGAAGTGCTCTGGTAAGAAGTTAAAAGACTGGAAGGCAAACATAAAGAAAAATTATTATAAGAACCACTTGAGTTTTGACGAACAAAAGCATTATAAAGATAGTAGAGTATATGCTGATCAGTGGGAACACCTTATTAAGT